CTCTCTCTCTCTCTCTCTCTCTCTATATATATATATATATATTATACACGCACACAACGAAAAACAAGTAGATAGAATAGAAAAAATAGAAAGCTTTTGTTTTGTTTAAAAAAAAAAAAAGAAAAAAAGATGCATATAGATAAAGTAGAATTAAAATGGAATCGAAAGTGCTAGAGTTAGAGGATCAAATAAAGGTGGAACAGATGTGTGCGCATCGGCTGCCGTGCGCGCGCTCAAGGAAGTTGGACATTGTCAAGTCAAGTCACCTTTATTTATATAGCGCTTTTAACAATGCAGATTGTGTCAAAGCAACGAACACAACTCGTTCAAGTGTTTTTGCAGTGAAAGTTAGAAGGGAAACCGGTCTGTAGTTCTCTAAAAGAGTTGGGTTAAGAGTGGAAAGAGTGGAGCAGAAAGTATCAGTAGCACTGTTAACATTAAGAGATGATAATTGTTCAGGGGAAGGAAGCAAAGATGAAACCATAGCAGATAGCCGGGAGGGTGAGAAAGAGCGTAGGTTACGTCGAAAAGTGACATGTGTAGGGGTATGTGTTGTGTCAGGAACCAATGATGAGGTTAAGAGTGAGGAGGAAGTGATCCGAGGTGTGCAGTGGAGTAACCAGCACATGATCAGTGGAGCAGTGTCGTGTGTAAATAAGGTTCAGGGCCATGAGGTTTAGTCTTGAATGACTTGGAATTAATAAAATCTTATTATATTAATAGTAATATAATAATCTTAATTAATCTTATATTAATCTAATCTATTGCTGAGCCATGAACATGTCATATCATCTGAGAGCAATTGATAGAGGGTTTGAAAGCATATGTGTTGGCTCCTAATTATTCTGAGTGACCAATATTAACACCTTTAGATAATACATTGCATGCTGAGTAATTGTTGAGGCACATGTTGATATTTTTACCATGGCAACTCTTTCTGCAGGTTGAAGGTGGGGCAGGAGCCCCTCATCATCGTCTCATTAAGAGCAAGTTTCCTGGAGACCTGAAGCTTTAGAGAAGCAGTTACATACATGCAGTTTTATGTAGAAATGGGCATATTTTTATTATAAATGTGATCTAATTCAAAATATATTTCTTTGCTTGTATGATGTTGTAATGTTCATAATTGATCGTAAAACATTGTTCTGAAGTTTAGTGTCAAACCATTCCAAATTCATCAGGTTCAAACTTTGAATTTTTCTGCCTTTTGAATGTTTAAGCCTTAAATTCCTGGCATTCTATGCATTTGCATTTAATTGCATTTTTTTTAAAAATCATTGTAAATGTCTTTCCTGAGCATCTTAAATTTAGAGTAAGTCAGTATCAGGCCAGAATTTCATCAAAGTAACTTTTAGGCCTGTAGAGAGAGTATTCCATGGTCTTTTCAAACCGTTAGCTTTGCTTCTCCAGTTAACCCTCATTGTAACAATAACCAATAATAGTTGGAAGGTGCATCAAACAGCCCACCAGAACACGCGTTTACGAGAGAGTGAAGTTCCAGCCGGATGATGTAATACGTAGGCGTAGCGTAAGCTCCGGTGAGATGACGAACGCGGAAGCACTGAGAGAGCAAAACAAAACACCGGCACTAATTAGAAGTACAAAATGAGGATTTGTATAGAAAAATGTCGGAGGATTTCGATATAAGCCAGGAGGAGACTGGTTTTCCTTTGCTAAACAACAGAAACTTTGCTTCCTTTGCTCCTGTAAACAAAACTTGGTTCTCATGAGACTTGCATATATTACTGGAGCTTACGCTATGCCTACTTCATCTGCTGGAACACCACTCTCTCGTGTATGCACGTACCAGTTAGGGGAAGCTAGAGATTATGGTTTATAAAGTTCTAAATATGGATAGTTTTCTTACAAAAACTAATCTATTTGCTTCAGGAGGCCTTTATTAACCCCCCAGAGCTGTGGAGCACTTTTTTATGATGGATTGGTGCAGTTTATTGAACTTCCTTTGGACTATTGAATATTACCACCCATTCACTGCCATTATAAAGCTTGGAAGCTTTAAATATAACTCCAATTGTATTCTTCTGAAAGAAGAAAGTCATGTACAGCTAGTAAATTATGGGGTAATTTTCATTTTTGTTAACTATCCCTTGAAATCATATTTTGACTAATTAAGGCACTATTTTAGAAGACTGTCCTTTAACTAAACAAATCATGGTTCTTGCTGCAAAACTACCCTTGACCTATCTGTCTCCAGGCCGAATTGATACAGACAGTTAGGCCTGTCGCAAAAATCAATATATCGACTTATCACACAATATATGTACATGACCTCAATCATTTTTGGTTACGCAATATATCGCCCATTATATTTACTTAAAAATTAATGTCACCATCCATTATATTTACTTAAAAATGAATGTCACCATGTTTTGTACATCCCCCTTGCGCCTGTGTCTTTTGCAGCTTCTTGTACATAACGTGGTGTAGTCATGAGGTGCTAGTTCAAATTTAAAAAATGCTTCTACAAACAAAGTTTAATCTGCAGATGTGGTCTTGTTTAGGGATTGCACCTTTGTGCAAACGGACATCTGACTGCTAAGTAGTGATTGTGTTTTTCAGCAATAGTGTGCACTCTTAATTTACAGAGAGAAGGTCGGAAAAATCCGTAGACGGAAAAATCTCCATACAAGTTCTTTGTGCATTTTTCTTTTTTTCTACTTGTTACTTTGCACTTTTTTGTTAAATGTTTATTTACTATTTATTCAAGTTTTTTAAGGTATCTAATATTTTGATACTTAATTTCCATGATCTAAATATTCTTAAAAATGTAAAGTTTGTTCTCATTTGGAAGTGTGTAGGCCTTCTTGCATTATTATGCTGTTAC